CTCCAGTCTCCATCCTTTGCCTTTGCCCTTTGCCCTTTCCCCAACTACCGCGTGCACACTACCTCCCCTAGAACCGACGCTGCCCCACCCCACTGCCTTTCTCTCTCTCGTAGAGATGATCAAACATTGCAAATCAACCGAAACGATTTAATCAAAGTAGGTCAGTCGTTTCGGGATGTTATACAATATTATTTGAATTAGTTTTAGTTTACATTATATTATTTGAATTAGATTTTCTATTTCTATCATGGTTAGGAACTATGATGTTATAAATACTTCATTAGATTTATATTAAACAATTCAATTCAATGAAGTCTTATTTGTTATTCTTCTTATTTTATTTCCTCCCCTAAATGTTAACATAGAGAACCTACGATGGAGCCTATTGTTGATGTTTTGTCGGTTTCCTTTAAATCCAGAAAATTGAAACTTTTCTTTCTCATGATTTTTGCTATTAGACGCCACTCTTTCTTTCCCATGATGATGTAATTTTATATAACTTTTATTATTTGATTTAATTTGATTATAATTTATATTTAATTTTGTAATTGTTGAGTTTACTTGTTATTATTAATTAATATCAATAATTAAAAAAAGAATTTATTATTATTAAATATTACAACAATAAAATTTAAAAATATTTTATATTAAATGTTTGTTCTTGTAATAAAAAATTATTTTAGTTGAAGTAATTTTATTTTAATTATTTTTTATTTGTTAATATGAAATAGATTATTGTAATAAAAAAAATATTTATTATCAATAAAATAGTAATTAAAAATAAAAATTTATTATTATTTTAATTTTAAAAGGATTAGCAGTATTTGTAATTAGTTAAAAAGAATAAAATGGTATATTAGTAATTGTTATATATTTGACTCTTATTCCGATTACAGCCAATTTTATTAAACAATTTCTAATTTGTTCATATTCCAATTGACTTGATTCTAATTAATTTTCATTATGGTTCGTGGTTAGTGAATAAAGAATGCCTCAATCTCATTCTCATTCTTTAATATTCATCATAGTTATGCTACTTTTCCTTTTTTACGCGTTCTTTGCATAACTTGACTGAGCCTTTTTATCTTTTCTCCCTGAACAATTTATTAGGTACCAATCTATCAGTTTTTTATTTTATTCCTAAATCAAGCATTTTGTGATTCACAAGTTTTTTTTTCCTATCTCAATATATATTTTAATTTTAATTTTCTATTTTGAAATAGAAAATGGATATTTGAAAGGTGGTCCCCAGATTTAAACTTATACTAAATATCAAAATTCGAACATAAATTTCCCTGGCTTGATATTAGATCAGGGCAGGGCCTCCTTTAGTATGTAAAAACGTGGACTAAAATATTAATCCTCACATGCCAAGACAAATGTATGTCGTATTGGTATTTGATACATACACAAATAAGAAAAGAACTCAATCAAAAGTAAATAAAATAACAGGTCTCCAGTTACAAGAGACGTTTACATTGTACCAGCCTTTCTGGGTCTTGCCACTAATCTCTCAGCATAAATATTATGAAGAAAAAAAAATATACATACATATAAACGTATAAATTTTAAATTTAAATAAGAAAACTATAACTGGACGGACAGGGTTTCTACTCGAGCATATAATATCTAAAACTGAGTCGGTGTAGGGACCGGGAGATGGATAAGTCTAAGACTCTAGACGCAACATGAACAATGCAATGACCTAAGAAAATAAAGTGAAATTTATCCTTTAGTCTCACCTAGTTCAATATCCTTAACTGGATTGGATTCCATTCCATCCTTCAAAAGTCTAATTTCCTCCTCTGTCAAGCTATTTTTCACATTGATATTAGTCTTCATATTGGATTGCTTCTCAACCTCCACAGCCCAACTATAAATGACCATACCAACAACTGCTAGAATCATGCCCGATATGTTTTTCAGAGTCAGCTCTGAATCAAAGAGCAGCCAACCCAACGTGAGAACACACACTGTTTTCATGTGACCTAACACCTGGAAGGAGACAGCTGAGAAACGTCCAATGCACAGGTATTGACTCACATTGCAGAACACAGCGAGAGAGCATGAGAGAAGGATGAACAACTGCAAATTTGTACCATCATCAGAAATTAGTTAAAAATCCGTAAATGCATGAATTGGCTAAATTGATACTGGAAAACACCAAATACTTACAACGGCACCAGAAGACATCTTATAGTTCAGTAGAGATTTGTCACTTAGGTAGTAATCAATAAATGGACCAAGAACCAGGAGAGAGAGGGCTTGAATAGGTGCTGTCTTGCTCAGCAATTCAAAAGATCCAATGGAGTACTTCTTCTGTAGTGAACCTATAGTCTGTTGCAAGAATACACTTTCAGAGATGAGAGCATTTAAATACTATTACATTCATTGTTATTTTTATTATTAATTGAGAACAGAGAAAAATATTCTTATTACATTTATTGTTATTTTTAGGGAAAAATACATGGTTGGTCCTTGAGGTTTGGAATATGTCTCTACTTGGTCCCTGGAGTTTCAAAATGGACACTTTTGATACCTAAGATTTGAGGCAAGTGTTATATGTCTTCCCTGAAGTTTCAAAATGAACACTTTTAGGATTGAGAAGTGATTTGAAATGGTCCCTAAACTACTTTTGGAGGACCAATCCACTGTTAAAATGACGTGGCACTTAAACGACTGGTTTGACAAAATATATTAATCCAACAATATACTTTTTAATTGGACTTCTCTCCTTTCTTCTTCTTTTCAAACTATCTCCATCCCCTTCTTCCCCCCACCGCCACCAACCTTCGATGATCTTTGCCAGCCACGAAGAGGGAACTAAGGAGAGAAGGCTCTCCCGCTCTCCTCTGCCATGGAATGAGGGAAAGGGGGGAGAGGGAGGAGCTCTCCTTTTATCCTTCATTCTAGCTCCTCCCTCTCTCCTTCGTTCCTTCCTTGTGCTCGGCAAAGGTCACCGAAGGTTGGCAGTGGCCGGTGGTGAGCTTCATCAGAGAAAGGGAAGAAGAAGAAGGTGGGGGGAGGGGGGTGAGGGAGGAGCTCTCCTTTTATCCTTCATTCCAACTCCTCCCTCTCTCCTTCGTTCCCTCCTTGTGGCCGACAAAGGTCACCGAAGGTTGGCAGTGGCTGGTGGTGAGATTCATCAGAGAAAGGGAAGAAGAAGAAGGTGAAAGAGTGGAGATAATTTGCAAAAAAGAAAAAATAAATGAAAGAAGAGAAGTCCAATTAAAAAGTATATTATTAAATTAATATATTTTGTCAAATCATTAATTTAAATGTCACGTCATTTTAATATTAGTCAACCAAAAGTAGTTCAAAGACCATTTAAAACAATTTCTCAAACTTCTAAGATCAAAAGTGTATTTTATAACTTCAAGGACCACATAGACACTTACTCTAGACCTTAGAGACCAAAAGTGTCCATTTTAAAACTTCAAAGACCAATAGACACCTACTCCAAACTTCAAGGACCAAAACTATATTTTTCCCTTATTTTTATTATTATTTGAGAATAGAGAAAATTATTCTTCTATAAGCAAAATAGCATGTGAAGGTTAACAGAGAAAAGTATTATTTTATAAGCAAAGCTTTCTTCTACCCACTACCTTGCCCGACGGCAAGATGATCAGACAGAGCCGAAGTTCTCAGTGCTTTTAGAATCCAACTTAACCTCAAAAAAAAGATATATACACACACACACACATACACAAGGTTTGACGAATTTAAGAAAAAGAAGAAAGTGGTAACACAATTCCTTGAAGGAAAGGATAAAAAATACATAGATGCATCAAACTATGATGCTGGTTTGTCAAGTGATTCCAAATTTGAAATTCGAATTCAAAAGGTTTCACCATCTCGCCTGACCGTGAGATAGCTGTATTTAGTTATTTTTCCCAGAATTTCAGTATCCAAAACATCCTCCAATAAAAAAAGATAATAATAATGATGTCCAATTGTTATTTCTGGTACGATTTTTAAGAAACATTTTAACATGATTGCCTACAGAGGAGTGGGGTTTCTCACTCGAGGTGGTTAGAACAAAGCCACTGTACCATAACCTTCAGAATACAACACAACCTCCCGTTAGAAAAGATTTAAGGTCCAATTTTCTACTTTTTCTGTTTCTCTTCTTTCAGTGGGAAGAACAAAAAAGAAAACGAAAGAAAAACAGTCGCACCCTTGCTGATAGAGAGAATCAGGGAAGAACCAATTGATCAACATATATATAAAGTAAAAGGAGTGAAGGCTAAACAGGGGACAAAGAAACCCGCACAGTTAGATAGGTGAAGAAGTACTCACAATTTGCTGCAAAGATGTTGACAAAACTGCTATGCATGCACATGTAAAACCTTTGAGATTAACTTTTACATCGGTGACAGTGCAAACTCCCACACCAATTACTACTACAACAACAGCAATTTTGACTTCTTTTGAGTAGTGCTTGTTATGAAGGATCCATTCCATCACACAAACCACAGGGATCATACTAAGTTTTGAGATCTGAAACAAAAATATTCTCCGATCAATTGAAAAGTAAGAAAGAAAGTGAGCAGAATATGGAGTGATATTGCATGAAGACTCAGTTAGATAACCATTCGTTAACTTGTTATGCCCAATGCTTTCTTATAAACTAAATTAAAGCGCATAAGGTTCTCGATAGTCATATAATAAACAAGGAAACAATCTTCTTAGCAAGTACATACTTGGTAAAATCCCACTGAGTTTAACATGAGGCTAAAGTTCATTCCCGTGATAGACATATTTGCGACAATAGAAAACCAAAAGAGTTCCCATAGAGGAATGTGCTTTGAGGTGGAATAACCGGTGGCATTTGAGACCAGACCAACAAGTGCAGTCACCGCAAAGTGGAACCCGGTCAAAGTTGTGGCTGAAAAGACAAAGAATTTAAATAAGCTTAGAGGTATTACATTTAATTAGGTCCATAACAGAACAAAGATCCACACGAGAATGCAATATAGAAAACATGGTTAGAAGTAGCAAGATAGAAGAAAACGTTCGTTAACTATGGCACAGAAAACTGTCCCAAGTTTGCAAGCGAGGGATGAAACGTCATTTGCAATATGTCTATGAGGTCGAAAACGTTGGCCTACACATGTAAAATCGCATCGAGCTTAGATAAAGATGTGAAATTCAACTGTAACTAAGAGAATCGATCCGTAGTTTTTCGCATTACATTAGATGTAACGAGAGTGAAGAGAACGAGACCCGTGGATAAGAAATTTAGATCGTTTAAGAACGGATATTGCCACCAGGAGTATAAATAGCAGCATAAAAATATTAAAAAAGGAATGCATAACTTTGAAATCAGAGATCTACAGGAGAACTCTTCGAGTTAGGGGAAGATGAGAGAGTAAGAACGATAAGATTCAGTGACTCTCACCGAAGCTGAATCCATAACCATTGGCAGACATGAGCTGCTTGTTAGCCATGATAATCCCGACTGAGCTGATTATGTTCATCGCCCATGCCCCAACATCTGATACCGCCGACGATTTCTTCTCACTCTCCATTTCTCCTTTTTCTTTCCCTCTCTCTTTCAAACTTTAATTTGTGCAAAATCTGAATGAGAGAAAACGAAAAAGGAAGAGACGGAGGGACGGAGAGAGAAATTGAAAGACCCTCCAAACAACAGATGCCCAGATCGGATCTTAAAATGTGTTACAGATAAGTGAATGTAAAAGACGACGGAAAGACAGGCGAGAAGACAACAATAGAGAGGCAAAACATTAAAATTTAAAATGGAAATAGAAAAGAAACAAAAGGAATATGAAGGGGGAGGGGGGAGGCTTATACTTATTTCTAATTTTTTTTTCTCCTTTTGTTTCTTCTTGTGAAAAGAGATAGAGTAGAAGATCCGGGATCTTTGAGGTATCTTTCCTTTTCCTCTCCTCCTTGTTAGTTCTTTCTTATTGAGTCTCTACCTACGAGTCAAGTCTCTATCTCGCTCTCGCTCCACCTCCGCCTCTGCTGGACTCCTCTTTTCCAAGTTGATATTTCTTCTTTTTCTGTTTACTGAATTATCAGATCCACCCGACTCATATGAGATATCTGTGACAGCAACAAAGTGTACGTACGCGTCGCGTGGGGCTTTTCATGTTTACTATCACTTCTTGGTCATCAAGTCATACAATTTTACCCTTCTACAAAATTTAGGTCAACCTTTTTTTATTAGGGACCGAATTAAAAGTTTATCAATTTATTTGATATTTTTAAGAGTGAATAGATTCAAATCTTATAGATTTGTTGAGAAAAATTAGTAATTCTTATGTAGATTATGAGAGAATTAGTAATTCCTATATAGATTACGAGAAAATTAGTAATTCGTATGTAGATGAGTTGGAATGCACCTAAACTAGTTCAAACACTCACGTACATTGGAAAAAAAAACTTAAATTTATTTTTAAAACTTTTAAGAACCAATAAATTTTATAATGTTATATAATTTCTTCAATAATTTTGATGTCAATCTTTCTCTTTTTTTTTTGTTTGAGGAATAACAATTTTGATGTCAATTAAAAAAAATTACAATTTAACGTAAAATATTGTAAGCGAACTGCTTTTTTTTTTTAATTGGTATTAAACATTTAAACGATATTTATAAATTTTGTTGTTTTTACAGTATTTAGAGAAACATAGGAGACGCAGTGTCTCCGCGAGTCCGTGATAGATTTCATTTAAAAAGGAAAAAAAAAACAGAAAAAGAAAAGGAGATGAAGACACGATTTCTTAGGTCAAAAAGATCATCTCTTCCTGTTTATTCGTTCTCTTTTTCTTCAAAAAAAAAAAAAAATCGTTCTCTTTCGTTTGCCAATATTTTCAGCAGCACACTTGGTAACTCAACCGACAATAAGCAATCTGTTAAAAGTTAAAACTTCATCCAATCAATAAGTTTTAACGCACGGCACTCCGTCTACGCAAGTTTCCCATAGTTCCACCCACAGTTACGGCCGGACTCAAATCAAACTAAAGCACAGCCTGGCAAAACCCATGGAATGGTAAATTTGCACGACTCTGTTTTGGTGGATGAAACTGAAAGCTCCGCTGCGAAAATATGATGTGTGAAACAAAGCCCAAAGTTGGAGGTTGAAGCTCAGAACACCACACTTGGGCAGAAAGTGGGAGAGACAGTGAGGGAGTGGGGAAGGTACCATTTTTTTCTAAGAAAGAGTTGGGTGTAAGAAGGGAGACGATGAGACGAGGAAGAGGGGCGAAGGGGGCAAAGAGGAAAATTGGGGCTGGGCACGGGTGTCACGGTCATACTTTTTTTCACTGGACGGGGTCATGATCGATCATAGCCAGACTTGAGGGAACGTACTTTTCGTGTTCTTGGTGACTTCATCAAACCTTAGGCAAGGTTCTTTCTTTTCGACCAAACTTCATCATGTGAGCAATTTTGCTTGTGTCAACAATGCACGCCGCCTGTATGTGTATTTCAACTCTCTCGCAACTCTAGCAAGCTTACCTCTACTCTGAGCAAAATCTCACCGCTCAACCTTGCCTCTACACCAGGCTAAGGTCCTTTAAACTCGATGTTGCATCATTTCTCAACATCTTGGTTCTCGGTCACTTGGTCGTCATGCTTCTACACTGAGCCAAAATTTACCAGGATGAGTTCTGACTTTTAACCGGGTAAGAACTAGCTTAAAATGCTTACCGAATACAATCGAGTGATTCTTGTCGTTTAACTATATTATAACTAGCTTATCAGGGTCATCAAACGCTTCTAAGACTATTCATGTTGCAAAACTGGTTCATAACGGGCTAAAAGATCTTATCGGATACTGTCAAGATGATTCCAGTCGAGATCCATACAAGGAATGACTAAACTTGGCAACTGGGTTGAGTTTTGTCGTTTATCCAGCCAAGACTAATTTTTTCTCACTTACCGGGTGTCCACCAGTATAGTAGGATGCCATCCTAAGCATCGGGATGTCATCGAGTTTCGTTGCTCCATCCAGACACTATCGAGGCATAACGACTCTCGTGCCCATGCTTCTTAACTTGAACATATTGTCTCGAACAACAACCCTATGGCGACCCACGGGACGCGGTACAATGTCCACACACCCATGCTGCCCGACACAGTCCTTGAGATTCCTATTTCCAAAGGAAGACATCCAAGACCTTAGTTTTCTAATGCTCACCCATACCATGACACACGCATGTGCCATGTGGTAACCTCACTTCGACTACAAGGCCAAGGGGTGGTGGAGAACTGACACCATGCCTCCCCCTATAACATATTATAATGCATTTTTACTCTGGGAGGTGTTTTAGTTGTTTGCATATCTCGCTAATATGCATCTAACTCCAAAGCTACTCATCCAAACTCTTGACGGAACTCTGACTTTAAGTGCCCTTACTGAGCTTGTCACTAACACCACTAACGCCGTCATTGCTTTCCATCTTGCTTGTGCCTTAGTTGGCTTTCTTACGCACATCCTCTTGATGTGTTAGATGATGCACCATCCTCCTTGGTTGCATCACGTTACTTCTCTCTCAGTCGGTATATGGCACGATGGGAACAAATGCATATCACCACCACTTATGCGCTTCGTGGGTGTCACAACATACTCTCTTATAATATGGTTGTGACACGGGGTGGATTTACTGTAGGTCCACCTGAACCTTTAGATATATACAATAGCTTATTAAATGTGGTCAAAATAGCTCTTTGGTCCAGTGGCATGTGAGCGCCTAGCCTCTTTGAGTGCTTGTGGTATGGATCTTTGAGGAGTCACACTGTATGAAGAATTGAACATCTATATACATTTTAGAAAATCTCAATCTCTCTTATATAAGTAAAATTTTCTTTACACAAATATATCACTTTTTAGAAAATGAAAAACAAATGTATGCTGGTAAGATCTTCACAAGGAAATTATCCGATAACTCTTTTATTCCTTCTCTAATACATTTTTGTCTTTATAGGCGGCTACGGAATAGGAAAGTCATTAACCCCTCGTCAATTCCTTCCTAGATCATTGGATTTTGTGGGAATTGCATTGGCATTTACTACCTTCCTTCATAGAGTCGTCGGTTACTCCAAAGATGGTGGAACAAATTGAACAGATTTTGAGATGTGTAGTGGTGGACTGGAGATCGACCCCTCTAGTGTAGTTGAGTTCGACTTTCTGACCTTCATATGCTGATGGCTCCGTGCGACACACGACAATTGCATCTCAATTCCCCCACAACAATTAGGGAACTACAGAAGGCAATTTTGATTCTCTAGAGAGTGTTGAGCTAGCATCCTTGAAGATGCTTGATGGAAAAGAGAGGTAAAGTAATCCAATGAAGATGCTTGATGGAAAAGAGAGGTAAAGTAATCCAAGGAAGGCACTCACAAGTTCCTGGATTCCATAGCTAAGGTTTACTTTGACAGATTTTAGATGAGGGTGGAGGAGTAGCTCTTTCAATAAAATATACATTTGTCTCTTTAGTCTAATTGTTGTCAACGATTTTCAGGTTTATTTTTATTTTCAATTTATAAATTGACATCACACATGGATAATATTTTTTTACAAATTATTTTATTGATATCTTTTTTTAATGTGAAAAAGAAGCACATAAATGTAACAAATTTCAAAGATACTATAAATTTTACATAAAATATTATTATCATTCTTTTACGCTGAGATTCAAACCTAAAAGGCTACTCTTAAAAAAAAAGGAAAAGAAAAAAAAACCAAATGTAGCCATTGAACTATACTCAAGGTTAAATTATTACTCATTTTTATATATGTAAGGAAAAATTGCATAAATAACCTCTATAGGGTTGTTCTAATCATGCCTATAAATTTTTAATTTGATCAACCATCTCTAAAACTTAGAACTTTTACTATAAAATTCTACAACTATAACACAATTAATGTTAGATTTCGAATGAATGTGCATTTACTAGATAAAAAATTAGCTTTTGAAATCTAAAAAAAAAAAGTTAGAATAAATGATATTTTTAGTTCTTGACATTTGAACAACCTGTCTATTTTATCAAATAGGTTTCAAAAGTTTTTGTTAGCCAATTTAACATATAAATGGCGTTGCATACTTTATAATAAAAATAGTTGACTTGACAATTTATAAAATTAAAAATCAAAATAAATATTTTGCATTTTTGGTAATTCCATTACAAGTTCTTAAAATATTTATATCTATACAATACAATGATACATAGAATTTTTAGGAGTGCACTAACTTTTATTTATGACATATTTAATTAAATAGAAAAAAAATAATAGAAACACAGATACAAGAATCTCTGAATAATTTTTCAAATCATAAAAAGAAAATAGTTACAAAAATTTATTCTTGAGAGTACGTGCAAAAGATACTCAGAGCAACTGTGGATTAGAAATAGTCAACATAAACTAATTCAATATTTTTCTAATTTGGGGGAAATCAAACTGAAGCCATCGATGATAGCGGCATTTGGCGACTGGTGCGACGGAAACACAGTCCAATGTAATAAAGAGTTCAAGAATCATCACCAAGCGGCAAAAAGCAGCAGCTGGAATGATGAAAAGTTCCGACTACAGCCATTAATCTTATAAATACTATATCCACGACACGACACATAGCCTCAGACCAGAGGGATACGAGATGCTTTCTAGCACGATTATCCACTCATACAAGAACATCTAAAACCTTACAAATACAATATCCTACATGATACATACAAACATACACATTGACTCAATCCCTGCTGGATGAAGGATGTCTTTGTGCACCTGGAGGTGCTGTTGGCCTCGGGAAGTAGTTATTAATATGTGCACCTGGAAAATTAGGAGCCTCCACATACGGACTCTGTAGTACAATTGTTTTAGTTTTAAAAGAGCAAAACGGGAAAAAGGTTAATCAGTTGGACTGCTAATTCCAAAAGAAGTTCATACGTTACAGATCAAACAAGGTTATGAAGTAATCTCTGAAATACGAAAGAAAAATATCCGACTAGTGTGAGCATCATCATATTATCTTTTTTTTTTTTTTTAATATTCGTGAGTGTGTGGACAAGCTTACGCGCACCTCAACTAATCTCACGGGACAACCGCCTGGGGAAACACATAGAAATTACTAATTCCTAAGGTAGGTGGCCATCATGGAGTTTGAACTCATTCTCTCTTAATTAACCCTAGCCCTTAGACCAATGAGTGACCCATGATGCATATTAACATTTGATGTCACACGTACGTTAGGAAAAATGCAATTTCCACTCTCAAATTACTACAATTTAGACTCCAATTTTTCAATTCAATCACGATGTGAGCCCCACCGTTACTTTTGTCAAATTTCTATTATACGGCTCAATTAACCCCTAAATTATTGAAAATACAGCAATATAGCATCCAATATTATAATTTTTGCAAGTTTAATGAGTTTAAAATTAACATATTAAAGGAAAAAAGAAGTCAAAGCGAACATAGCTCAACAGTAATTAACATATATCTCCAACCAAGATGTTGTGAGTTCGATCCCCCATCCCACATGTTGTTACTAAAAAAACAAAACAAAAAAATAAACAGAAAAAACCTATTGTACCGCAAAAATAACTCAATTACAAAGAGAAAAGATGTGAAGTATCAACAAATTGTAGTCAACAACAAAACTCAAATTGAACTACGTATTATATTTAAAGATAAAATTTATTAAAGTGCAATATAAGAAAATTTTAAGATCAGATGAAAGAATTTATTAAAGTGCAATATAAGAAAATTTTAAGATCAGATGAAAGAGAACACAAACACGCCAGACGCAGGGGAAGTGAACACCGCCGCATCAATTGTATTAGAACTTATACTTTCTGTTAGACTGTTGTAATATTGTTACTGTGTTAGCCATTCTCCCCTGTAACTGTACTTGGTCTATATATATGACCATTTGTTCATTAAGTTATAAAAGTATTATTTACTCTCTAGTTTTAATGGTTCCTCGGTTTTTTAAACTTGTTGAGACACAGTTTTGGAAAACCATTAAATGTTTTCGCTTGGACAATGCTCCTAAATTGTCTTCTGTTGAGTTTTTCCAGACCAAAGGTGTTCTTCATCAGTTCTCTTGTGTTAGCCGCCCTGAGCAAAACTCAGTCGTTGAGAGAAAACACCAGCATCTGTTGAATGTGGCTCGTTCCCTTCTTTTTTCAGTCTTGGTTCCCATCCAATTTTGGGGAGAATGTGTTCTTACAACATCTTTCTTTCCTGATTAATCGAACTCCTTCACTCCTACATTGGAACACTCCGTTTGCTTGTTTATATGGTAAACGAGCTAATTACTCGTCTCTTCGAGTTTTTGGATGTCTGTGTTTTGCATCCACATCTCCTCACAATCGGTCCAAGTTTCATCCAAGGAGTGCTTCCTACTGTTTTCCTTGGCTATCCTCCAGCAGTGAAGGGCTACCGTCTCTTTGAAATTGAACACAACAAATTTTTTATCTCCCGAGATGTGGTGTTCCATGAAGATGTGTTTCCGTTTCATACTATCAATCTGGGAGAACAGTTTTTGGATCCATTTTCTGATATTGATCTACCAAAGTCACTTGATTTTTCAGGCATACCTACTGGTTCTGATGCTCCATTGCCTCATAATACTGTTATGCCTCCAGTTGGTGCCACTGTTGAGCCTGATTTTGTTAGTTCTCCTGCTGTTGCTTCTTCTACTGATGCTAATGATTTGGCCATTGTGACTGATTCCAGAACTGGTGTTGTAGTTCCTAATGAGGTGCTTGGTGTTCCTTTTGGTTCATCCACTGATATACCACCTCCTACTGATGTTGATACTCATGTGCCTGCTTCTGCTAGTCCTTCTACTAATGATGAGTCCACTGATTTACTTGGCTCTCTAGAATTGTTCCTACACCAGTCATTCGAAGGTCTAGTCGGCAGTCTCACCCTCCTCCTTATTTGAGGCACTACCATTGTGGTTTAATCCACTCTCGTGATGGTCTTGACTACGTAGAGACTTTTTCTCCCGTTTCTAAGATGGTCACGGTTAAAGTTTCATTGACTTAAGCGGTTTCTTTGCAATGGCCTCTTGTCCAGTTGGATGTAAATAATGCCTTCTTGCATGCGGATTTAGTTGAAGAAGTTTACATGGACTTGCCTCTCGGTTACAAACATAATGTTGTTACAAACATAAGGTTTCTTGCTTCGAAACCTTGTGTTTTGCCAATGGATCCTAACATCAAATCCCTGTTTCTGATGGAAAACTTTTAGAGGATCTTTCTGTGTATAGGCGCTTGATTGGACGATTGTTATACTTAACCATTTCTTACCCTGACATCACCTCCGTGGTTCACAAACTCAGCCAATTCGTGTCACAGCCTCGGCTATCTCATTTAAATGCTATACATTCATTGTTGTGATATTTGAAAGGCTGTCCTGGGCGTGGAATTTTACTACAGCCTTCACATTCTTTTTAGTTGCCGGCTTTCTCTGATGCTGATTGGGCATCTTGTGTAGATTCTCGGAAATCTACTGCGGGCTTTTGTATTTTTTTTTGGACGAGTCTCTTATCTCTTGGAGAAAGGAATGCGATTAAATAAAAAAGGTTGATGGAAAAAGGAATATATCTAAAAGAGATCGTCACCAACAAAGGGAGAAGACATGGTCAGAGTTGGAAACATCGACACAAGCTTAAGAGTAAAGTGAGAGAGGTCGAAGAAACCCTTCCTTCAAATGAAATGGGTCCTGTTTCCTCTTGCAAACACGAAAAGGAGAGTTAAGAGTACGGGTCCATTTCCTCTTGCGAACGAGAAAAGGAGACAGAGAGACCCAAAAGGAAAAAAAAAAGATTGTTTGCATTTAAAAAAGAACTGATTAAACAGATATTGGCGATTAACTTAGAAGTTTGTTAAAAAAGTAGTTACAAATTGGTTGAAGAGGGTTTAAGGCAGAGACATATGTGTATGTTCAACATGTATCTGACACCAACACTCTGCTTAAAATACTCGAGGACAGTTTATCCTTCTGCACTTGATATTTGCTACTTTACATCTTCACTTCTCAATATTATTCATTCTAAACATTCATCCTAGAGATCCATGCTTAGAAATAGAGACATTAGATAAATTTCATTCAATTCTTGTAACCAAAAAACTGAAAAGGTTACAACTCTAAAAGAACTTAAGATTATACCAAAAAAATAACAAGTCTTTGAGGAGAAGCACGAGAAGTACCTGTGTTACAAATGCAGCATAAGATTTTTCTTCAGAGCCTGAAGATTTCAACGTTGAAATCGGAGAAGCATCATGGCTTGATTCACTTCCATTCAGTTTATCTACTGAACCTTTTACCACCGTTTCACTCTCATTCACATTGGTGGACTTAACCCTCTTCATCCACATACAAATTTTGAAGTAATAACCACTTAGGGAACATGACATAACCAGAACATGTTATGGAGTAGTAAAATAGAACAGTACCTGGAAAATTTTACCAAGTGTTTTCAATCCCTTTGCTCGTGCACGGAGCTCCTCCTTCCTGACGTGGTTCTCTTGAAGTACCTGAAACAGTTTTTAATCATTATTTCATTACTAACAAGAAACGCCAGATTATAACTGTTACTAGTCAAAAAAGGAAAATACGGATACACTAAAGCAACCTGTTGACAGACACGTGAAAGTGTGGCCTCAATGTCAGCCACGTTCAATTTCCAGAGGGAATCAATCATCAGTTTCTTATGAGATTGCACATATTCTTCAAGCTCTTCTTCAGTATAATTTCCTTCAGCACTAAGTTGCTTTTTCATGTCCTCCTGAAGTTGAATCAGTGCAATAGCACCTAATGCACCAGCACAAAAACCAGTTCAATCAACCGACATTAATGTTCTTCAAGCAGCAAGCTTAGGTGCACAGAGCAGGTAATGAAATTGCTGTTTATACATTCAATTAGAAAAATCTAAACAAGCTTAAATGTTGAATTCAAATTTTGATTTTAACAAAACTATTGGAATTTTCACCAATTGGTCTCATATTTCCGGGATAAGAGTCCCCAATCATTATGTTCAGAAATATAACAATCCCAATCAAAGAAGAGATCTCATTCAATCATATAGTTCTCAGCTCTCTCATAAAATGAACTACCATTTACGCTGGCATTTGAGATGATCTTCTTTAAGACCCTGTAAGTTCTGATCTTTGGTTTGAGCTTATAAAAGCGAGCCTTTCTTTTCTTGTACAGAAGAAACCTGTCTTTAAGACCCAACGGATTCCAATTCTCATTCTTGCATTCTACTGATATTAATTCCACGATTGGTTATGCATCTTTGGCGTCCTCTCATCCACCCATTTTCTTGCACCCAATTAGATCCAACTTCTTGTGGGCAAATGTGTTTTGAAATCTTTTGGTTGCTGAGTGTGTTCCACACCATGGAGGCGGTCTCCCAAAATCTCCCTCAACTCGAGGGTATCAAGCTAGCCTGCACCTTCAACACTTCCAAATGGTTCCTTCTTCGAGGTTCATCATGACACCGACTTTTGACTGCACAAGCCGTAGAGTTTTTCCATTATTCTTGTAAAGGTGGCCGATAGGATTGCTACAGGATAGATTAGGGATATTTTTAAGATATTGAGGATATATTGGTAATTGTGTAAGGAGCTTTAGTTATAAATAGAGGGAGGAGGAAAGGAGGAAGGGAGGCAATTAGTGAGTATGGTTTAGGCTTGAGTAAGAATCCTCAAGAAAGGGGAGGGTCCAAGTACCTTGAATTACTTGGTAATTATTGTAGTTCTTATACATTTTATATATCAATATATCGTTAGTGTTTGAGTTCTAGTAATTTTGGAATCAGAGCTGTTTGGTTTTGGCCATGGAATTTGAGATAGATGAAGTTTTACATGAAGGGATGTTGACAATTTTACGTGAAGAAATGGACCAATTAAAGAACCAACTGATGAAGGAAATGGGCTCAATGTTCCAATCTATGCAGGAATCTGTGGCCCAAGGTTTCAGAGAAATAAGAAAAGAGATTGCAGAAATAAAAGAGGATTCTGTAATTAAATCCTAATAGGGGTGGTATAGGGCTTTTTTTTATCTAGTTGGGGTGTTATTATGAAAGTTCCTTTATCAAATAAAAAAAAAAATTCTTATTACGAGGCTATAAATATGTAATTCAAAGCAAGTACACACATGGTTGTAACCTACTTTATGAGTTAATAGTCTCCAAGATTCAAGAATCTTTTAGCTTTTGTGTGCACCATACTGTTTGTTTTAAATCAAACAAGTTATTAGCCAAGATCATAGCATAAGTGTGCACAATTACACATGCAAAAGAGTAAATGAAATAAATCATTTTTCCAATTTGAATAGATTAGAGCTCCTTGAGGTGGAAGGGAAGAACAATGATGAAAAACGGAGCTGAAATAATACCAGTCAGCCAAACAGTATTACAAGGAAAAAAAACAAAAACAGGGGGAAAGAATGGACTTAAAACAACAATATATGCTAACCTGTGGCTGCTGTGACTTGGGATTTTATGAAGTGCCCTTTGTTTCTAAACCACTCCGCAACAAATGGCACACCCAGATAAATTGCCTTCTTCCCAAGCTCTTTAGCAGCCTGTCTGGCATATATATAGCCAATTGTGTTTAACATATCAACTCCATAGGCTGCACAGAAACACAAAGACAAACGTAAATAATCAGAATAGAAATTAGGGGAAAAATGTGAATGAAATAGGTCATGAACCATATTGTAAGATGTTAATAGTGCTTCCACTATGCTTTTTATACATTTTGTACCCAATATCTTCATTCTTGTACCCAATATCTTCTTGTGTATGCTAATAAACTAAATGATGTTAGTTTGATTATTAAACTTTAGTCAAATCCCATAAAATGAAATTTAAGGGATTGTGAACCTTATCTCTTAATTATCAGTAAAGATTGGTTTTGAGTAATCTCTAGCAGAAAGTTGGTTCATGGTTGCACCAATTAGTATCAAAGTAAAACTCTCGTATAGGCCAATGGCTACTATTGATTTTTTTCCAGAAAAATGAAAAAAAGGAGATCTTAATGACGAAGATGAGCCTTGTAATCTTGTGTTCAATATCAAACAGCAAGTAATAAATTTCAATGAGCTACTAGATCGATTAACCTCAATACATCAACCCTGATTAGTGATTACAATTAGCGTAACCTTAATATAGGTTTTTCCCAGCAAGTTAAAGATGCTAGGTTGAGATGAGTTTTGGTTAGAAGTTGGATTGTAACCAACGAGTGAACACATTTGGTACCTGTCATTTACGCCAAAACAATTTTACGTCCTCGAAAAACCCAGCAATCCTTGCACCCTGGACTTCACCATATATAATACCCACATGCTCTAAAATAGATCTTTGAAGGCCATGAATCTCATGGTCGCCACCTTTTTGAAACCAACATTTGTTCTTTCAGTTGCTAGAACATAGTACTAAGAGATTCAAACTTTTTCAAAAAATCTACTAGGTTGATGTAGTAATTTGTTAGGTGTTTAAATGTTAGGGCTCTCTTTGTAATTTAGCTTAAGTAATTTATTTTTTTAGTGTTAGGTAGATTATTAGTTAGTTACTGTGGTCCATAAGCCAAGCCTATAAATAAAGGGTAAGGCTTCCCCTTTTCTGTACACTTTTTATCATTAATAAAATAACCAGCCTAAAGCTTTTCTGCTCCACCATGAGTTTTGCAAGAAATATAAAGTCACTAATTGCCTGTTGCCCATGAGACCTAGTTTTTTTGAACAGAAGATACAAAGAATGACAAAAAAAAGTAAAATCATAATTACAAAGGATCAATAAAAACTCCCCAATTAGCATTCATAAGAGAGGGGGAGTAATGTGAAAATGAATCAACAAGAGAGCAAGGTAACTCTCATCATAGGACCTTCGTTTGCCCTCAAGTAACTGCAAATTCCATTCAAACCATAGCTCTGGTAATAAAGCTTTAATAGCATTCAACCATAAATACCGAACTGAAGACAATAAATGAGAAGCCTCGTGTAGATCTAGTGAAAAATGAAAATAGTGGAATGTAGTGAAAACTGAAAATAGTGGAATGTAGTGAAAAATGAAAACAGTGGAATATAACCTTTACAGAGTGCAAGGTAATATAATCTTCTCTTCAAAGCATCCGCAACTTTAAAATTATAGGACGTGTCATTTAATGGTAATATCAAACCTCTCTATGAATGAAATCCATCAGGTGTGCATCTTGTTTATACTCTTTTGGGAATTCAAGTATTTTAGTGAATGATAGTCGCTTGGTAAGTATATATTCTCAGCCTAACAACTAGTGGCGCCTACTGCTTCAACGGTCTTGCTAAAGTATACAATTCTATACATACTTCATTGTTAGTGAGAGGACTCCACCAATTTCTCACTAAAGAATCTACCACCGCCATAAATAATTCATCAAACTATGACAGGACAAATACTAAAGTAGATCTCAACTTCTGTTTTAAGTATTAAATTTACCTATGTGCACCTCCCTAGTAAAAGCTTCTCTTCCTTGAGAAATTTACGAGTGGATATGAGACCCATTTTTAAGCCATTTGTGAGCGGAGTTGTGGTTGCACTGAAGTTTCGAATGAACTATTCATCAAAAGTTTCCAGGCCATGGAAGTTTAGTTCACCTTTGCAAGTTTCTGCTTCAAGACCACTCATGTAGCATGTATTTCTCAAATTTTGTTTTCATCAAACCAGATGCTATCCTTCCCTATTTACAGACTACCTATTCTGTGCACATACTTCGTAATTATTATATTCTAAATGCTTGTAAAAAACATGCTATGCGGCTAATAACTTAGAAGCATATGAAAGTAATCCTGATGATCTGGCATGCCTACCCACACGAATTATGGCATATGAGCTTTCTACACTTCATTACCCTTTACCCTTTTATATTGATCCTCAGAAGGACCACATTACCTGCGTTGGAGAGCCTTGCTACTTCAGCTTCAGCATTATTAACAAAATCGTCTTTGTTACCTTGAACATATTGGTTTAGTCGACCTCTCAAAATTTCTGAAAGCTTTTCTTCTCTTTCCTTTTGGACAATCTGCACTGGAAAAAAAAAAACTTCATATTGCATGCTATGCAACTTTGAATGATGATAACACTCAAGTGAAAGCATAAAAGATAAAAAAAACTTCGTTCTTGGTTCAATATCAAAATTCAAACCTAAACATTTTTTTTTTGTTCCATCGGTTTAGCATAACTAAATTTAAAGCATCACAATGGTGTTCTATGTCTAATCTTTTTGGGAATTATTCTCCTACTATTATTTGTTCTAATTGGGGTACTTCCTGTTCCCATTTTTAGCTTTCGTGTTTTGTATTTGTTTCTTTGTCACTCTTTCGAGAGTTTGTATAGTTGAACATTTATGTTCCTTTTCATTATTTCAATGAGAAGTTCGTTTCTTGTTAAAAAAAAAAAAGTTTATTAGTGAATCTGCGGCAAAGCGGAGCCTCTGATGATATGGCGGCTTGTGCTGTACTATCATTTTGGATTCCCGGCCTATTTCGGCACTAGTTAAATGGGGCGAATCACCCAGATCTTGAATCAACTAATAGATCATCAAATCAACAGGGACCCAATACATTCTCCAGATGAGTTGGGAGCTTGGGCAGCCTGCACGCGCGAGGAATTTTGATGTAACTAACTCTACTTTAATTCGTTAGTTTAGTCTTTTAAGGTAGTTAGGCTTTTACCGTTAGTTCACTATCCTTTTACCATGGCCTTATAAATAAGCGTCTTTGTACATTTGGTCATGGATGCTATCATCAATAAGATTTGATTCATACAAACCACACCAATTTTGGTATCAGAGCGCCGCAAATCCTTGGGCTTTTCAAGAATGGCAGGGAAAAAGAATGCTCCGAGTGGGGGAGATTCTTCTCTTGCCGAAAAAGAGGTGGAAATTGCTGCTGCCCGCCCTCTCTCCATGATCATCAACCATTCGTTTACTGATGGTTGAAGAATCTGTCGAAAATCTACAGCAGAATGTGGTAGAGATTAAAAAAATCCTTCATGTGCTGGTAGACAAGATTGACAACATACAAGTAAACCAGCTGAAGACGAAGAATGGGAAAGAACCATAAGGGGGAGGGATTACAATCATTCGTGAGACACGCTTTCTAGCCCCAAGAAGTAATCAAGAAGACCTTCCTATCCAAGGAACCCACCCTGTTCTGACAAAAAATCTTCCTATCCAAGGAACCCACCTTGTTCTGCCAAGAAATCTTCCTATCCAAGAACGCCACCATATTCCTCCGCGAAACCATGACATCCCCCAAAATCATAACCAAGATTTCCATAATTGACCACTTAGAGAATACCATAATCCTGTTTTTGCCCCTCCACGTTATCAAGATTGGCCAAGAAACTATAATGGCCATCGAAGATTCCTGTAGAGACAAAATGTTTACCGTGACTCTTCAAGTGATGAGGATGACTTACAAACTTGGCATGAGGGCAGGCGACAAAACAGATGTCATCCCTAGCACCATCGGGAACAAAACTACTACAAAATGAAGATTGATCTCCCTTACTTCGATGGCAAGATGGACATCGAAGGCTCGAATGGATTAAAAATGTTGAGAGCTTCTTCGATTACATGTCAACTCCGGATCATAAGAAGGTAAAACTGGTGGCCTTCAAACTCAAGGGCGGCGCTTCAACGTGGTGGGAGCAGCTGGAAACAAATCGCCAATGTTTCGGTAAGTTTCCTATCCGTTCTTGGGAAAAAATGAAAAAACTAATGAGAGGCCGGTTTCTACCTATAAATTTTGAGTAGATTTTGTACCATCAATATCAAAACTGCAAATAAAGAACACGTTATATTAGTGAATATACAGAAGAGTTCCATCGTTTGGGGGCAAGAACTAATCTTGGAGAAAATGAGCAGTACCAAGTGACTCGATTTGTTAGTGGCTTACGAGCTGATATTAAAGAAAAACTCCAAGTTCAGCCTATTGGCTTTCTTGATGAGGCTATTGTCACAGCCATAACGGTTGAAGAGCAGCAAGTCAATAGGTTTCGGGTTTAATATCGGCGTCGAACCTTTGATGACGATCAAGCTAGTTCTTCCAAGAAAGGAAATCTTGCTTTCGAAAAACCTAGTACCAACAATACATCTACTTCAAGAGCCTCCAAGATGCAAGGAAATAAAAATAAAATCTTTAAGAATCTTGAACACAAAACTCTGGCAACGTCGACTTTATCTTCTGGATACAAGGTTTTCAATTGCTAAGAATATTTGGCTCGAATCTTTCTTTGAATTTCAGAAATCTCTCCATCCTAATCAGCTTGTAACTACATCTTCCTAAGATTGCTCTTCTAAACAAAAAACATGTTCTTGCGAATTTTGACCAGCTCATAATTAAGAGAGGCTAGATAAGCATCAATTGAGAAGGAGATAAGCTAGAAATGTACTTGAAGGATGAAACTATGTATTCATTTGATGTAGTTAAGTAGCTGCTTCATAGCTTTTCTCGTTTATTAGCTACTGTTATAGCTTTTATTTTAGTAGCTTTACTTTTACTGCACAATAACAATAGTTACTCATGTAACTCTTAAGCTTGAAACCTCTAAAATAGGTTGCAGTAACAATAGTTACTCATGTAACTCTTAAGCTTGAAACCTCTAAAATAGGTTCCAACCTTTTAATGAAAAAGCATTGAATCATTTCTTAAAAGACCTTGTGAGGTGCTGCATCAAATTGGTATCAGAGCACTTTCAATCTTGGGTGCAAGAGATGGCGGGCAAGAAAAGCACTGTGGGAGACTCTTCTCTCACCGAAAAAGAGACGGAGTCAGCATCCCTCCTCTCACCACGATCATCAACCGCACGCTTGCTGTCAATTGAAGGAGACGTGAAAGTCATCCAAAAGGAAGTGGGTGAGATTAAACAAATTCTGGAAATTATCCATGAGAAACTCGAAACTTTGAGTGTGCAACAATCTCCGGTTAGAACTCCTCAAAATTCTGCAAGATTGGATCAAGAAATGTGGATGGAGGATCAAAGGACTAATTACCTACAGGAGAAACACCCTACACCACTAAGAAGAGTCCAAGAAGTCAATCGGAGACCAAGAATCCTCCAAGAACAGCAACTTTTTCATCAAGAATTCAATAGGAACCCTTTGTTTCAGCGACATCGTGAGTTGCTAGTCGATTCCTCAAGTGAAGAGGAAGATGACCTTTCTGCATTTGAAGGAGAACAACTAGGTATGGGCTAAATCCTAATAGGCCACAAGAAGCTAGACTATCACAAGAATTTCACAAGAATCGTCAATATGAGTCAACAACCAGGGAGAATTTTTTACTGGCCTCTAATTTTTTCCAAGGAAGACACCCTTCAGATAAGTTCAAATAACATAGAAGATGAATTTCTTTTGAGTTTTGCTGATTATTTTGATGGAAGGGGATAAAATTCTATTTTGTTCGGAGAAACTTTTCACTAATGCTGTAGAATTTGATAAAAATCCTAAAGAAACTCGTGTGGCTAGAGTTGAGAAAGGTTTGGTTGAAGCTAATATTATTAGAGTTGAACAAACCGGAGAAAGTTCAATTTGCCAACCTCAAGAATTCGAATCTGATTTGCTGCACGAAGGTCATGATGTGGTTGCATTGCAGTTAATTTCTTTGGAGAACCAAGATCTTACTATAAAAAATTTGGGTTTTTTACAAATTGATAATATTACTGGTTGGGTTTTTGGAGTCTAGATGCTGCTGGGGTATTTTCTGTCAGTTCTCTTTGTAAACCAAAAGGTCTTTCTGTGGAATTACCCTCTGATTTTTGCTCTAAGTTATGGAACTCTTGCTACCCCAAAAGGGTGAATGTTCTTATGTGGATACTGATATATGGTAAGGTGAATACAGCTGAGGTGCTTCAGAAAAAGATGCCTACAAAGGCTCTCCAGCCTTCCTTTTGTGTTCTATGAGAGAGGGCTTCAGAAAATCAGATGCACACTTTCTTTCTGTGCCCTTTAGCAGCTGTATGTTGGGCTGAGTTGCTGAGTTTATTTAATCTCTCTTGGGTTCTAGATAAAGATTGCTCAAAGTCGATTTTTCAGTTGATGTTTGTCCCCCGTATGCATCCTAAAGCGAGTCTTCTCTGGGTTAACGGATCAAAAGCCCTCATTTCGGAATTATGATTTGAACGGAATCAGAGGATTTTTGAAGATTGTAAAAGTTTGTTTCTTGTTAAAAAAAAAAAATACTGGCGGGAGTGAAGAGGTTGAAAAATTCAGAATTTTCATTGAACTTCAAGAGCATAGACTACAAGAGAATGCAAGAAAGCTCTTCCTTCCAAGTAGACTTCAAGAGTGTAGATCCAAGAAAGAGAAAGATTCAATGTGTGGGAAAGTTGAGAACCAAACTCATTCGGCTTTGAGAAGTATTGGGATGAAGAAGAAAGTGGGTAGTTTTGTGAAGAAACCCGAGAAAAAGAAGGTTGATAATTTGGAACACTTTTGTCTCAACAAACTATTGCATCAAAATTTATTGGGATTTAATTCAGTTTGGGGAAGAGCCTCACAAAAAATAATGAGATGCTTCAACGGTAAGACAAACTAGCAAAAGGATCTCCTGACTTTAAATAAGACAAGCAAGGGCATAGAGAGCCTCTTCAACTTCTCATACTAACGAAAATTAGGAGGGACAAAATGGAATAAAAGCTCCTTGAAAAACCGAATCATCGGTCTTTGATTATTCCATAAACTAAGATAAAGTCGGCAAAGAGGCAATTGGGTGGGGATCATGACTCTTGGAGGTGGTTTATTGACCCCTCAAGCAGCTTTAGTTGCAAATCTCTTCCAAAACTTATCCACCGCAAATGCCATTTTAGATAATTGTCTTTGCTTCATAATTTGGAAGGATAATTATCCCAAAGAGTAATGATTTTTATTTGGGAGGTCTTTCTTGAAAGTATTAATACAGCTTATAGGCACCAAAGAAAGAATGTTGACTCTTATGCTCTCCTTGAGTTGGTGTTCTATGTGCAAGAAGGCCTAGGAGAGTCAAGATCTATTTTCTTCCATTGCGATTAAGCCTCAAAGTTTTGGAATTTAGAGCTTTCTGCTTTCGGTTGGTTTATTGTTTTGAATCAAAAAGTAGCTAACGACCTTGTCTCTCTCTCTCTTTTTTATTTTCTTTAAACAAGAAACAAACTTTTCATTGATAATATGAAAAGGTAGAAAAAATTTCAATGATACAAGCCCCCAAAGGAAGCAAAAAAAGAATAAGAAAAACAATCAAAACAAAGAAACAAAAAATCCATGAAATAGATGAGATTTGCAGCCTAAGAACAGATGCTGAAAAACTGTCATCAATAAAGCCTGCCAATTCAAAAGGACTGACTGTTGAGGAGGAAACCAAAACAATCACTTAACACAAACCGATCGCTCGAATGAAGAAGTAAAGAACACCAAGGGAAGATAAGAAAACTATAATATCTCAACCCTCAAAACTACTGAAAAGCAAAACCAAACAAAAACTTGTTGCCCATAATTAAAGCGGAGCCTACCTACAGTGATTGGAACTAGGGTAAGGCCTACATCTTCAAAATATTTTAAAAAAACTTTGATTGTCTGCGCAAGAAGTTTTTTTGACTACCCAAAGCTGCTCCCGAGAAGGAGAAAGAATGGTATCCATTTTTGCAGAAGAGCGTAATTGGTTGTTATCCTCTGCAAAAAGTAAATTAAAATCCTCTGTAAGGGAAACCTCTGATAAATCTTCGTTAACAACCTCTTGCTCTTTGAAAAAAGGTAAGTATGTTCCTTTCTCTCTTCTCTCTCCTCTCTTCGAAGGTCGCTGAAGGAAGATTGTTTGGAGGCTTCATCTTAGGTGTTCTATATCCATCGATCGGATTGTTTGGAAGGCGAACTTTTTGATACTAGTTTCTGCATAATAGAGGTTAGTAGTTGTCGAATTGATGGTAAGTTTTTTTGCATTTGGGCTGAAAAGGACCATCTTATGCTTGAAGACGTGAAGAGAAAAGAGATGTTCTCTCTTCATCCAGCTCAATTTCTTTGGCTTGACAATCACACGGCAAGTTTAGTTCATAAGCCGCTTCATTCCTCCTTCTTTCATCATGAGTGAAATGAATCTGGTACTTGTCGTATTCATAAGCTGAAGATTAGAAATTCTTGGTTTGTTTCATGTATTATTTGGCCATTCACTAGAGGAAGAAGAGTCATATTAGTTCCGGTTTGCTCTAATATGTCAGGATGGAATGACTTCTGGTCTATGTTAAAAAAAATTTCTGCTAGGAATGCCGAACGGCAGATGAGAGAAATCTCAAGATCTAAAGAAGCTATGATGGGGAAAGATTCTGACATTCATATTCAAAGGCAGAAACAGGGCACAACCTACGCTGAAGTAAAGGTATTTGTTCTAAAAAACCTTCTTCTTTTTGGAATTTAAATGAGAATTACTTAGGAGAAGAAGGTAATGTAGTTTGCAACAATCATCCGGAATTAGCTGCTTCTAAGTCAAATCAGGCGCATACACCAAACCCTCGTACAAAGACAGTTCAATGGTGCAAGAAAGAAACCGAAGTGTTGAGCTTAGATTGGAATAATTTAATGGTGGTTTCCAGATGTTGTGCTCATGACGATTGGGCCAAGATCTCTGCAGCGTTTAAAATTAAATATTCTCAATCTTGTGTGCTTAATCCTTTCATGGTGGACAAAGCTTTATTTAAGCTCTGCAGTGGCCGATTATCAAATTTTAATGAGTTACCTGGTAGGTGGCGATAGGTGAATGAATTTCGTCTTAAGTTAGAAAAATGGAGCTTTAATAAGCATAGCAGACTAGATTTTACATTAGGTTATGGAGGTTGGATCAAAGTTAAAGATCTTTCTCTTTCTTTTTGGAACCGAGGATGTTTTGAAGCTATTGGGAGGTATTGTGGAGGTCTTGTATCCATTTCCACTAGAACTTTGAATATGTTGGACGTTTCAGAAGCCATTATTCAAGTTGAACCAAATCAGTGTGGACTTTTGCCGGCTTTCGTGGAATTACTCCCACAAGGATCTCGGTCTTTCATTATTCGAATTTCCCAAGATCAAAACTCTGCTCGATACATGAGGCCTTATTCATTGTTTAAGCACGGAAATTTAATGAACTCGCTGGATATTGCTAGATTTCAGACAGTAATGGAAGTCGAAAGATCTTTTCCTCTTGGTTTTGATGTTTATTCAAATAAGAGGAATAATATAGCAAGCCAAATTCCATCTTGAACCGGTTGGAATTTCTAAAGTAGACTGCCAGCTCTCTGATTTTAATTGCCAACCAATATGCAATGGAAATTCTAATATTACAGCAGTTAGAATTAATGAGCCAACTAATGAGCCAATTAACGAGGCACCTCTTGATTGTAATTTTCAGAAGTCAAAGGTTTTTCCTTTCCTTTTGCGGTAAAGAAGTTACACGGTCGTATTGAGCCCCTGCCTTTTTTCTATACAAGGAAAAAAGCAAAGAAGTTGACATTTGATAATCTGGAAAGGATCAATTCAGCTGAAAAATTGCAATCAAATTTATTGAAGGCCTTTAATGAGGAGAGAGAAAAGCAGTCTGATTGGATTTTTTCTCAAAAAAATTAACAGTGACCTTTCAACTTCTCTTTCACATGGAATGATTAATTCTACCAAGGTTGGGGATCCTATTCCTTCATCTTCTCCTCTCCCCTTTGTTGATGATTCAGGTTCGGAGATCAGTATTAGCAGTCCTAATTCCTCCCCCGTTCCCAATTCAATAGAAGTATCTAGTGAAGTACTGCGTGCATCATCCGTAGATCAACACATTCAATCTCTTTTTATTGAAGAAAAGGAAGTGCAAGAGTCCGCAGCCATTCCATCATTTTTTGAAAAAGTTGGGATTCAATTAAAGAAAGCAAAAACAATGGGTTCTGGGTTCAAGATTCTGATTTTTCCAGCAAAGAAGAAGAATTTTGCTGTGGGTTTGTAGATTATTTCGATGAT